GGCGGCCCTCCCCGCCAGTGTAAGGCTGGAGGGCAGCAGAGGCTGGTTGAACATAAGAATGTTCTTCCTGACCAGACAGGAGGAGGAGAGGTGTTAGCAAGTGCTTGAGCCCAGAAATCAACTTGAGGGGGTGAAGCTTTAATAGGAAGAAGAAAACAACTGAAACACATGAGCAAATAAGGAAACGGTGTTTGTGGCTGGGCAGAGAGTTGGGGCAGGCAAACCCGGCTCCAGGAGCTCAAAGGTTACCGCCTTCACTTAGGAGTGTCTTCAGAAGTTGTCAGACAGGGAACTGGGGTCTCAGGTGAGGGGGAACTGGGGTCTCAGGTGAGGGGGAACTGGTCTCCTCCTGAGCCTGGGAGGCACCTGGGGAAAGCTGAGTGGCTATGCCACTAGCAGACACACACTCACCCATCAGCTGAAGAGAAGTCAGGTAAACTGATACATGAGCTTTCTATGTAGGCTCCAGGAGTTGATGATTTCTAGCACAAACACAACTTCTACTCATGATGGCTTCTCACTTGACTAGGTTGTCATCGGTGCCCCTAAAAGGGCAATCCATAACGTGACGGTACTGTTCCTTTGGCCACTGAACATATTTCACATATTTCTGTCTTGTTGGGTTTTCAGCCGCGTATGTCTCTAGTTGCAGCTCAGCTCAAATCTGAAGTACTCTTCATGGCATAATCCCGTTTTCTCAAGAGGCAGTAAAACATGCTGAACATCATAATAGCATCACAAAGTTGTTGAGGCTGGAAGGGGCCTGTGGAAATGTCTAGTCCAACCCCCCTGCTCACTGTTACGAGGGTTTTTATCCCCAGGTTAGAAGAAAATATTTATGTTTTGCAACTGTTCTTAAAAACGGCAGAAGGCCTGCTGGTGACTGATGTGTGCTGTGTCACGTACCGCTTGTAACCACGAACTGACCCCTTCTGGCAGGCAGGATTTCTGTCAACGACTGGGCTGCAGCAATGGAGTCTGTCCTACAGCTGGACCTGCCCTGGAGGATGCTGCGCTCTCAGTTAGCACAGATGAACCCAGATGGAGAAGTTGACTACATGTCATGTTTTTACGATTTGAAAATAGGTCAACCTACAAAAGAGGTAAGGAGGAAAACGCCTCCTTGCAAATCTTGGAGGAACAGCTTTTGGCGCAACTTGAGGCACAAGACAGTGGTTTGGCCAATCAGGTAGACAGCTACAGCTGAACTAGTTGCCAGGCTTCCTTTTATAGTCACTGGAGGGAAATAAGCACAGCTAGGGTACGAATCGTCATTCCCTGCTAAGGTAGATGCTTAAAATAGGTTGGATGAATCACATGCTAGAACTGCTTCTTACTTTCCCTTGACTCTCAAGGGCGTTTAGATAACGTATCTGAGGAAATGCGACAAATCCGACCCAGAGCACTCAACCCTCACTCTTGGAGATGAACTTTTCAAATGTGCTCCAGAGCCAATTCACGCACCAGTAGGAGGAGTCACATTTGTAGATGGACCTTCACGTGCTTAATGGTAGCTGAGGTCTCTGCAAAGTCCAGCTGTCACCCAGCGGCTGCACAGCGCTTTGGTACTCGGTTCTCTGCACAGCAGGATCCGTTCATGCACGCACAGCAAAAGCTTTGTGTGAGCGCCTGGCATACAGCATCACAGCATCTCCCCTAGGTTATCCTTATTTCCACAAATAATGACTGAGCGTAGGAGGTGTGAAGGCTCCTTCCCCCCCGCCCTCCCATCTGAAAGTGGCAGGTTTTAGCTGATTATTCCTCAGGGCAAGACACAAAGTACTATTCCAGGGAACTCAAGCATAAGGAGTTTTTTAAAAACATTTGACAAGTTAAACTGGGAAAATACATTTGGGTAGTACATACTCTGTGGGTTAGACTAAAACCAAGGTCTGAATGGTTTCCTGCATGTGACTTCAAACCCAGGTTCAGCCAGCTTTGGTGGAAACACTGTGCAGATACAGAAAGGATCTGGAGATCATCTTTAACGCCATTGACAAAGATCACTCAGGTAAGGCCAGGTAACTCCCTGTACCAGCTCTGGGAAGCCTATACTGGTTATCTGTCCCCACTGTTTCCTCCTTAAGGCTTCTAAATATAGAGGAACCAGAGGTGACGTCATTTTTCCAGTTTAGTGAAGACTAATTTAAGCAGTCAGGCTGTAACCATATAAGGGACAGCACACAAAGCCTCACTTAGGAAAAAATTCTCACATATCCCATCTCCAGTACTGGCTTCACTTTTCTGGGGGCTTTTTCTCCCTTCCCCTCTCTCAGTGTTTAGTGCTTTCTCAGTTCCACTGGTGAAAGCGTTAGATCATTACCTGAAGTAAAAACATACTTCAGTCACGGAATCACAACACGCAGCCAAGCCACGGGAGGCAGGTAACGATCTGGCAGTGAAGGGGTGCGCATGCACGCGGGTGTGCGGGAAGGGGAAGCCGCAGTGGCAAAAGCGACCTGCTGTCTGTCTCCTTTAGGTCTGATTTCTCTTGAGGAGTTCGGCCAGACATGGAAACTCTTCACCTCCCACCTGGGCATTGACGTAGGTGATGAATCCCTTGACAAGTTAGTCCTCAGCATAGACCACAACAGAGATGGCCACATCGACTTCAATGAATTTTTAGAGGCCTTTCATGTGGTTCATAGACTAGAGAAAAAGGCAAACTCGTGAGAAGGCAGAACGTCTCGTGGGCTGCCTTGGAAGCTCACCCTCCTGTCACGAGCCAAAAGCAGTCTGGGACGCCAGGTTCCAGGCTGGCAAACGGTAAATGGGCTGCTCGCTAGGGTAAGCACTGCGGTCACTGCGTAAGCCTTTATTTAGTCCCTTCTGGATGGTATAAACCTGCCTGTAATGAGACAGAAGAGACAAACCCCAATATTTACTGTAGTATTATTACCGTGTCACGGCCACATCAGTGCCTCACAATTTGTCCCCACCCTTGGTGGCATCTCCCCCATCAACCCAATCTGTGACCACTGCCAAGGTCGCACCTACAATCTCGCGGGAAGAGAAACTTCAGCGTGTTTTTCAGCAGCCCTTAGCGACGGCTGAGAAATAGCACTGATGGCCACAAGGAACGTATCGACCCGCCCAGCAATGTGACGGGCACAACCGAGGCCACGTGTGGACTGTCCAGCCCAGGAGAGGAAAACAGGGCGGAAGACCCATCCAGTTAAAGCAGTTCTGCATTTAATCTTGCTCTTGCATGAGGCAGTGGAATTAAAACATTCCAGGTCACTATCTATCCTCCTCGAAGTTTACAGACACAACCTAAAGGACGTTAACGGAAAGGTGTTTACATGTGCACTAGATTTCCTCTTGCTAAGAAACAGTTGTAGCTCGTCACCTTAATGAAGGCTAAATCCGTCGCATGTTAACGTAACACACGGCAGACCACAAAATAAAGCTTTAGCTCTCACAGTACCATGTAACTGCGGTGTCTTTTGCCTGTGCTTTGGTATCCTACGCATACCGGAGTACAACACGCTGTTCCTGAAGATGAACTGGATTTCTTTAAAAAGGGATGAAAAGCACCCCAAAAGTAATCAGATTTTTGTATCACTGAACCTAAATATTCTTGCATATAGTTAAGCACAAATTCTTTACCAAGTAAAGGGAACTGAGAAATTTCCAAACTGAGTTTTTGGAACACAGCGAGATGGAAGAGTCCAGTGGCCCCGGCCTGCCCCCAGCCTGCCAGCCAGCATTCCCAATCCTGCAAGTACCACCCCGTCCGCTCCCGCCAGGACAGCAGGGAGCCCTGGACCCCATCCCCTTGCACACGACACACTGACAGCAACACCCTGGCGCACAGTGCGGCACAGCCGGGTCAGGAGCCTTTCCAAAACAGTACTGCCTCATCCAGCCTTAGTAAATGCAACCTGCTCAAAGCGCTTTTTGGGTAGGAAACGGTTCCAGCTTAGCCCATCTTTACATTTTAATAGCAAAAGCTAAGCTAAGCAGCTAGGTTTTATTTAATAACAGTGTTGAAAGCACTAAAAAGTCATCCTTCTCTGTTTGTAGCAGCAGCCCCAGCGTAAAGTACTGCTGTCTTTCTCAAATTGTATTTTCTACGGTTAAATACAAAATATTTTTCCAGAAGTAACTTGACAGATGAACGAACAAACATGCACACGCTTATTTCTATTGCCTAGGGGAGGGGGAAAGAAAAAATCTTTAATAATGCAAACAAAATTTACAGTAAAATTTTAATGGCATTGGTAATGGCAAATGCATATTTTAGCATGTGTTTATTCGCATCTATGCACCAGGAGGATCAGTCCCACCTTATTCCAGTGGAGTGACAGAAAGGCTCCACCTAAGATGGACAACCACCACTGCGTGTGGTGGGATCTTGCTTCCCACAGTCGGTTTCCTTGCTGTGGGTGCAAAGGGATGACATAGGATGGGACAGTGCAGCTCTGGAGTCCTCCTTCATGCTCCCCCCCAAAACAGAGGGCAAAGCCAGGAGGTGCCACAAGGGGTGGGAGCTCAGAAACGCGTCCGACAGCCTCAGCTGAGATGTCCCCCTCCACTGCCAGGCTCCTGAAGCTACCCCGATGGGCAGCTGAGGGGTGCTCGCCCCGAGGGATCACTTTGTGAGAGGGGAGGTAACAGCGAGCAGCACTTCGCTCGGCAAGAGGTGGGG